AATTGCATATTATTGCGTAATACTTAAATGTATTTCTATAATTCAAAATATTTTATTTTAATTAAAAAATGTTAATAAGAACAATGAAATATGATTATAATAACTGCAGTGCAATATTTACTTAGTAGCGGAACAAATAGTTTTGTGAATACCTAAAAATTTACTTTGTCAAATGAAACACAATGGAATATAAAATTTACAAAAGCTTATAATTTTAACAGTTTAATATCTCATTGTAATTGCTGTAATTTATTGCATAAATATACAATACATATATATTTTTTACGACTTTTTTTTAATGAAAGTTATTTTCACTTTCAATGGTAATTGTAAATTACGTTCCTTTTGATGGAACAATTATTACATAACTTATTTGTTGATTCTTCTTTATGTGGTCCAAAATTTTCAGAATCCCAATCATATATCCTCTATATTAATATCGATGTGTACCTATTATTTACCTAGGCTTTTCGTTGTCGATAATGAATGAAAGGGCAGATTTCAAAAACGTTGTGCGTTGATTTGTAAGTTTCTAAATTTGTTTAACGGATTGATAATTTTCTGTTGTCAAGGATTCAATTAGTATAACCTAGTTACTAAGGATAATGAAAAAGGTTCTATAGATACTTATAAAAAATGAATCATAATTATGAACATTTCTAAAAAAAATGAAAAAGATTTTTTTAGGAACTTCTATAAAGTCAAGAATATTATTAACAAATATTTCATTTAATTAATTAGAACGGTACATCAATTAATATTTTCTTTTAACATTTATTTATTCACAACCTGCCACAATTTTGGCAATGAGTTGAATATATTTTGGCCATAAGACAAAAAAAGAAAATAAAAACAGAAAAACGAAATAAAGCAGTGAGCGGAATTATTTTCTAAAAAATTATTTTGACGGCACTATGAAACTTAAATAAAAATATTCACTCTATTGTCCATTAGAAAAGGAACTTTTATTTTCTAAAGGGAAGGTCGAGGGTGTTGTGTCTCTTTAGTCTGTGGGGGTCATTGTTATTGAGCAGGGATAACGCTAGACTGTTGGAATAGTTTTCCAGTCTGTTCTGGTAACGGGGACTGAACTAGGCACTAAACTAGGGGATTTCATTCTTTACAGTGTTTATATGGAGGTCATTGTGTATTGTGTTATTGGTGACGTACCAGGACTGGACTGTAAGCGTTGTAGGATCTCGATGTTGGAATTGCTTACTGTTCCCCAAAGCTGGATGCAGTACGTCCACACCGGCTTCAGCACTGACTTATAGATTAATAGTTTGTTGTCGAGGGATAATGGAGACCTTCTGCCGATCAGCCAGTACAACTATGCGAACTTGATGCCCAGTTGCTTTCGTAAAAATCTTAATAACACAGACATTTCGCAATGGTTTTATTTCATAAATTCAAAATCAATGTTTATTGAGATCGTTTTATAGACTAAATTTGAGTTAAGAAAGGTGCTAAAATACAGTTGCAAATGACATATTGTTTACGGTTATTATAGTAATATCGCCCAAATTATATTCAATATTTCCAAATTAACATTTCTCATCTAAAAAATATAATTTGTTTATAATTATTTGAATATACTTACTACTATGATTTCCTGAAGCAATAGTATTTAAAAAAGTAGCCTGTGAGGCTACAATACGACAAATTATTTATGTTTTAAACCAAAATGTTTGACCTACGTTTGATAATTTATTGGCAACATCGAATCGGATAATTAGAATAAACTGGAGCGCTTTTCTTAGACAAAGGATCCTTTTGCAAAATGGATCAACAAATTTTCCGGTGAAATTCTTTTGACTCGAGGCCTAAAAGTCTCTCAATCCTTGTATATATATATAGATATATCATACCTGCAGCATCATACCATTTATTTGTTCACCACTTTGGTATATTTTACCGCCAAATCTGCAAGTTCCTGGTGAAGCTGCAAAATCAGAACAGTTGTTAGAAATTGGACATTCTGTTCTGTTTCCTACAATCGAATTCATCGTATAAAAGTGTACCCAAGTTATCACAACGATTACCTACAAGCAAATATTTTTACAAAAATATTTAAATATATTTCTAGTCTTTATTATATAACTTTGAACGGATGCTAAGGTTAACGCAAAATTATATTGTATTGTTTCATTGTTTCTTAAAAATTGATAAATGATTTAAAAATTATTTAATATTTTTTGTTTATTACTTACGACTCCAAGTTATTATAATAAACAGGAGCGCTTTTATCGGAAATTGGATCTTCTGTTACTTCAATATTGCATTTCTTCCTTTCGCAAAATGGTTCAACGAATTCCCCTGTGAAATTCTTCTGACAAATGCAATTGAGGCATTTTCCCAAGTAATTAAATTCGCTGATATATTGTCCTTCCCTGTATATCTCACCATTAACTTCGCATGTAGCGATATTATCGAAAGGTTCTAAATTTAATACATATTAAATTAAAGAGGAAACATAATTTTAGATATTACCACAGATCTGTTTAGAAGAACAACATTTATCCAAAGTTTAAGCTAAGTAGCAATCTTCGTCGGGACGTTGGAAACAATCATGAATCATGGGACCCATTCCTGGACTATGATTAATTCAATATTATGAAGAAAATGTTAAATGTTAAAAGATTAGTACCTGCAAATCGCTGGTCTGCAGTTACTTGTACCATTCACGTATTCACCATATTGGTAAAGTTTACCACCAAATTTGCAGAAACCATCGGGAACTGTAATATCAGGACAATCATACGAAATTGGGCAACCGTCGTTGCCTAGATTTGGAGTGCAACCTATTTCATCGTGGAAACGAGTTCCTAATGAATCGCAATGGTCACCTGTATACATTAACATTATAGTTAAGCTTAGTTATTTATTAAATGTATGTCATTACTTCGAACACAAGCAAAAGCTATTGCTAAAGTCAAAAACAATATTCTTCTCATGATATCACAAACAATACTACCATAATTTACTTTATTCAGACGTATTTTATATGTTTTAGCAACAATGAATATTTAATTTAAAGTTCTATTTTTTTTTTGCAACGTGTTAAGTATACAATGGACGCTTTTTCGTCAAAAAAATTGTTACCAACAAACAAAATTAGTACAAACTAGTTGCTAAGATTGCTCAATTTCCTAAACAACTAAGATATCACCTAATTGACATATCTTATCTAAAATATATAATTTATATTTTAACTCATAAGTACTACGGATGGGTCAGTGTGACCCACATAACTATTCCAATATTTTTTAGTAGACTTTTCAGTCGGAGCAAAGATGTATTTATTTTATTGTAGAGTGAATTTCGGGTCAAAGTGACCCGATTTTGAAGCGGAATAACTTTGGTTTCCCATGTACCAAAACGGGGAAAATTGGTAATCCTGATAGCCAGTATCCACGACTCTAATTTTGCGAATGAAAAAGCACTTTCCTACATCGAATAGTACGAGTTTTTTTTGAGAAAGAAAAATGTATGTTTTATCGAAAGTGTTAAATGATTAGAATTAATCTGTGTTTATTGTAAAAAATCAATAATTTGTTCTATTTTTGACATATTTAATAAATGGGTCATTTTGATCCATAAGAAGTACGTCGCATTTAAAGGTTAAATAAAAACGTTTAATAACACCTATTTCATAATTAATGGGCATCATCAAATCGGATTATTAGAATATACATTTTTTATATATAACTCCTTAAAGTTACAATGACTACTATAAAGGACACTTTTTCTTTTTAATAAACGCATCTTAAATATCCAAAAAAAACGTTAAAATATTATGTAATAATAAAACAAAAAATTCAATATTTATATTTATTGCTTTAATTCATTATCAGTTTATAAAGTGCATTTTAAGTTAATAATTAACACAAATTGTTGTTTATTCATTTAAACTATAGTACAAGTTAACAGAGGTGGTAAAGTGCAAGAGCAGATTGCAGATTGTTCAATACTCATATAATTTTCAGGGTTTATGTATTTCACAAACAAGATATCGCCCAGATTATAGAAGTTATTATTTCCAAACTCACATTTCTCTTCTAAAAATTAATAATTATAAAACAAATATTTGATATATTTAGTTTAATACTTACGACTCGTATTTCCGGATGGAATTGTAATTAAATTTGTTGCGTATGAGGCTACAACAAATGGAATTAAATATTAATAGAAATTTAAAATCATGATAACTTACGTTTAATAAATTCCATTGGGCAACAACGAATCTCATCGTTATAATAAACAGGAGCGCTTTTGTCAGAAATTGGATCTTCGGTTACTTCGATATTGCATTTCTTTCTTTTGCAAAACGGTTCAACTAACTCCCCTGTGAAATTCTTCTGACAGATGCAATCAAGGCAATTTCCCTGGAAATTGAAATATTCTCCTTCCTTGTATATCTCACCATTAAATTCGCATGTAGCAACATCGTCGAAAGGTTCTAAATTTCATAGATATTTGATAAATTAAGAATCAAAATTTTTATATATTACCACAAATCTGTTCGGTAGGGCAACATTGATCCAAGGTGTATACAAAATAGCAGCCCTCATCAGGACGTCGGAAGCAATCAATAATCATGCGAACATTTTCGGGACTAGTATTAAGTTAAAATGTTATAATTAAAACAACGTGATGAAGCAGATTCATACCTGGAGCAAATTCCTGGACTGCATAGACTGGTACCATTGAAAAATTCATCATGTTCGTATAGTTTACCACCATATTTGCAAAAACCCTCTGGAACTGTAATATCTGGACAATCATACGAATTTGGACAACCGTCGTTGCCTAGATTTGGAGTACAACCTAGTTCATCGTAGAAAAGTGTTCCCAACAAATCGCAATAATCACCTGAAAAAATTATGTTACAATAAAAATTAAGTTATATTTTATGTATTTTTCATCACCCTGAACAGACGCAAAAGTTATAGCAATAATCAAAAACAATGTATGTTCCATGACTGCTTAAACAATACTACCGTAATTTGCTTTAAACACACGTCTTATATATGTTTAAGCAACAATGCACATTTAATTAAAAATTCAACGTGCTAAGTCTACAATGATTGTTGTTGTCAAGGTCGGTTTTTTCGCTATAAAAGTTTATAAAAACGCTGAAATATTAATAAAGTAGAAAATAAAATAATAATTTATTTAAACATATTTATTGGTCAAAATGTCAGTCAACAAGATTTCGACCGAAGTCAAAAAAATATATAATTCTATTCAATTTGTATATGCATTGCTTTATTTCATTATCAGTTTGCCCAATTACAAATGTAATGTGTAATTTGTTGATTTAAAGTTGAGTGCAAGTTAACAGAGGTGGTAAAATACAGGTGCAAATTGCTGCTTCTTCATTGTTAAATAAAGGATTTTCGTATTGCACAAATAAAATATCGCCCAGATTATACGCATTATTTCCAAACTCGCATTTTTCTTCTAAAAATAATAAGTGGTAAACAATTATTTTATGTATTTAGTTTATTACTCACCACTCGTGTTTACAGATATAATGGTAGTTAAGTTTGTAACGTAGGAAGCTATAATTAAAGAATATTATTCTTTTTGTTTCAATAATTTACGAACTTACGTTTAATTAATTCTATTGGGCAACAACGGATCGCCTCGTTGTAATAAACAGGAGCGCTTTTATCGGATATTGGATCATCAGTTATTTCTATAACGCATTTTGTCCTGTCGCAGAAAGGTTCAACTAATTCACCTGAAAAGTTCTCCTGGCATATGCAATTAAGGCAATGACCTGGGACACTAAAACGCTGTCCGTATTTGTATATTTTATCACCAATTTCGCATGTACCAATATCGTCAAAAGGTTCTAAATTTAATAGATATTTAATAAATGTAGAAAGATTTTTTTTTAGATATTACCACAAATCTGTTTGGAAGAACAACATTTATCAAAAGTGTAAGCATAATAGCAGCCTTCTTCATGACGTTGGAAGCAATCAACAAACATGAGACCTATTTTAGAACTATTATTAAATTAAAATATTATAATTGAGATAATGTGCATTAATATATTTCGTACCTGGAGCAATACCCAGGTTGACATATTTTGGTACCATTAACATATTCACCATTCTGGTAAAGTTTGCCACCATATTTACAGAAACCATCGGGAACTGTAAAATCAGGACAATCATACGAAGTTGGACATCCGTCGTTTCCTAGATTCGGAGTGCAACCTAGTTCATCGTAGAAAAGTGTTCCCAATGAATCGCAATGATCGCCTGCAAAAAAATATGTTATAATAAAAATTAAGTTATATTTGTATGTATTTTGTATTACCCTGAACAGATGTAAAAACAACAGCAATAGTCAAAAACAATGTAAGTTCCATGATTTCATAAACAATACTACCATAATTTACTTTATTCAGACGTCTTTTATATGTTTCAACAACAATGATTATTATATTTCGTATATTTACACAGCGCTAAGAACTTAAAAAATAAACCAACAAACATTGTCTATTGTTATAAGTCAGTTTTTATTATTGTCAAATTTGCGAATTATGCTACTTTAATTTTCAAAGACATCTTTTGATGACTACAAAATTAAATTAGATAATGAATAATATGTTTTGTCTTCATTTCTATAATTTTAATAATTAAACACGCTTAATCATCATTTTTATTAAAATATATTTGAATCATATTATTTTTCAGAATTAATTCATATGTTAAACTTCATTCAAAACAACAATCAAGTTAAATAATAATACTTTTTTTGTTTTGTATCTAACATTAATAAATAAAAAAACAATATAATTTTATTTATTATTTATTTACATTTTTTTTATTGGCTATAATTTGTCTGAAAAGTTTCTAAATTATCTGCCAATAGTAGATAATTTATTGCCCCTTTCAAAAATTTGGTCATCTTCAGACGAAGATACAATAAGTAATGGATAGTAAACTTTACAAAACCATCATGAAATTGAAAGAGATTGAAAATTCTATGAAAGAAGTTGAAGTTGCATATTGAAAATATATTAACTTTTCATCAAGCAAAGAATATCATCAGTTTTGGAAATAGAAGCTACGGCTGTCAATAGTCCTTTATATGGGTATACAATTTTGGAGATGCTGGATTATATGGATCGGAGAGGATCGCAGTGGTCACAATAAATTTTCTGCAAATTTTATTGTATTTTCTTTTTAGTTTATGACCTCTGCTGTTTTTGGAAAATTGATGCTTTCAAGATAGAATAAGGTAGGGTGTAATAAAGCCCTGATAACGTTTTATAAAATTATAATTAAAAAATGTTGCTTGTTCTTAAATATTTATAGAGTTTTATTCAATAAATAATATATACAATATATTTTAAAATAAAAACAATGCTATTAGTTAACATTTTACATGCTCATCTTCCACATCATCTCGTTAATATCATTGACATCCATCCTATTTTTAACTTCACTGTTTGCTTTTTCGTCAATTTCTTCCACTTTCGCGCGTTTTGCTCTATTGTTATTTAAACTATTTAACTCGTCCAAAGAAGAATTTAATTAGTTTAAAGAATTATAATCGGACGTATGAGAACCTTGATCTTGGACTCTCGATCGGTGGAGAATCGACTTCAGAATCGTCATCGGAAACCGGGCTTTGAAATTGGACTTCCCATTGCGGAGAATTGGAATCTTCGTAAACTATGTGTAGACGCCTTTTGAACAGTCTCCTTCTGGAGGAGTGAGAAATTCACGCCGCTTTCGTTTACTAGTTACGCTTTGTGTCTCGGCGAAGTTCTTAGCATCTTCTTCGTATGAGACGACAGGATCATTTTCGGTTACATCAAAATTGATGCATTTGCGTCTAACGTGGTTAAGGTACCTCTTCGGCGTATTGGGTTGTGATATGATATTTCGACGACGAAGACGTCCGACCGCTTGGTAACGCTTTTGATTAGGAGTTTTTGGGCTATCGTCCATCGAAGGGATTTCTACGCTTACTGCACTTGATGACATCTCAAATTCAACTGTTGCAGTAGATGGTTTTGTATTGAAATTTCGTTGCTTTATATTACATACATCGTAAAACATCCCTTATTTTAGGAACCAGATGTTAATACTAACTGGTTAACCGTTTTATATTCAGTTTCAGGAGAATTACAGAACATATAAAGCAATAAAGCACTCCCAAAGCAAAAAAATATATCAAAGTTAATGTGCAATATATTTTAAAATAAAGACAATGGTATTAGTTAACAGTTTAAATGCGCAGCTTCCATATCATCATTAAACTCTCTTCTTGGAAGATTTACCACACGAACTAGATATTTGGAATCAACGAAATTATAGTTCTTCTAAGTACTCATACCGTTCTTGGTAATTAGAAATAAAAAAAAGTTTCTTGTTCTTAAATATTTGTACAGTTTTATTCAATAAATAATATATACAATATATTTTAAAATAAAGACATGCATACATATATAACACATAAACATTAATACAGTAGATTATATTTTCTTCGATACCAGCACTACTTCCACCTCTGTAAGGTGTTTCAACATCTTATTCATTATTTCCAGCTTCTTCTGGATAATTGTGACCTTTTTGTAATGATTTATATTCTTTGAAGTCTCTTCGGGCGTCGTTGAGGGAGAGTCGGTAACCAAGTAGTGCTTAATTTTGTACCGTTTGTGTACTTTTTGTTCTTTAACGATCCTTTTCTTGCAGATAGTCCTAGTTATCATTCTTTGATTGTCTTCTGGCAAGTCAAAATTGATTCTTCTGCACGTATGGTTATTTGAACTTTTCGGTGTCGAAGGAACGTCTGCGAATACTCTTAAGTTTGGTTCAGGTGATTTTGGATAACATCTGTAATCAGTCGGTGTCCTGGGGGACCTGACGGCTATTGGCGAATGGTAAATTTCGCTGTCATCGCACGTTTCCGATGCAGAAACTTTAACACTCGAATCGTCGTCATAGTGTTTGGTCATATGTTTCTTATCCATATTGTTTGACTCTTTCAATTTTTCTAGATACACTTCACTGAAGGCTTGT